CCAGCAGCAACTTGCCTCTCATTCTGGTCTCTCTTTAGTTTACAGTCAGGCCAGAGGTTAACCTACAATGCGCATGCACAAACCAACAGAAGATAGCTGCTGGCCCTTCAGCTTGGCCAGCTCCAGTCAGTGTCAACTATAGTTGGACACAACCTCAGAGACAGAGACGACTACGCTTTTCAGTGAAATGAAATATGCACAATAGTGGCAACAATAGCTAACTGCAAGCACAAGATGGCAGTAATGTAAAGGCTGGATTCAAATATTCATTGAAAGGCTAGGAGCTTTATGACAGTGCAGTGCTGCCCTCTCTTCCCTTTAGCTGTTAGTGATCTGTTTGCAGCCTCACTTCTTCTCCTGTTGTTGGGTGTGTGTGGCCTCAGGCCTTTAGTATTCTGGGTTGCTGCACATGCTCATATTCTTCTTTTCCTTTTTCTTTATTTTCTTTATTTTTAAGCGCTGTATGTTTTTCTATTTTTTGTTTCCTTACAGGTGCAGGTTAAAGACCGATTGGGTTTTTCCACTTGTGATCTGTCCTCTTATTCTTATCTTTTCATGTATTGTCTCTCTTTTCACTCTTCTTCCTGCCCGTCAACTCTGGCTTCGTCATATTACATAGTTGTAAATAGTAGGAAATGAATACATAAAAGAAAAGAAAATCACAAACAATAGGATCCTATAAACTTATCTTGGAAAAGCAAATATGTTTGACACAACAGTGTATTCAGATGATGAATCTGATTGCAAGAGCTGCCAGACATGACAGTTATTTAAAAAGAAAACATAAAATCCATACGTGATGTCTGCCTTGTCTAATAATCAACACACACGTGTATACACAGACTGAACATCTGTGATTTTGAACACAGACATGTGAAAACACAAATATTTTTGATTAATTGATTTAATTCCTATTCATGCCTCACTGAATTCTAAAGGAAAATCATCACAGCTTCAAGTATGTGAGGTGCCATTCACAGTTTAAAATACTGTGAGTTTACACATACTGGTGTGTAACAGGAAGGACTGGTTGGTTGTAAAGATATTACCTTCCAGGTAATTTCTTGATTCTTGATTTGAATTTTCATTCATCCTAAAGATGGATGAAAAAAGTTGTGTATTAATTTTTCAATAAGTTAATTTTAGATAAACAGCAGTAACATCTCTGTTTTAGCGTAAAAATCACCAGGGATTTGAGGCCATAGATTTTTGGAAGGAAGAAAATTTAAATTCTCATCTATAAAATGTTACAAAGGTAATTATTTTACTGCTTCAGTATTGGTCAGTAGTGTGGATATGTGGAGATGGGAGTGGTACAGCTAACCCTGAGCCAAAGGTTTGATCTGTTAGATAAGTAATTTAGTATACATATGTACAAAAGTCTGCCTGCACCAAATACATGCTAAAACAACTCAAACACATTATTTTCTGTTAGAAATGAAACTAAATAATAATAGGAAAGTTAAGCAATTTCTTTCGTATGGACTCCGCTATGAGTTTAATTTCCACTTTTCTTTTTTGAAATCCAGACTTCCAGTACGCGTGCACCTGGACCAAAATAAGAAAGGGGGAAGCGGGGTCAGACCCTGGCTGTATGCTATTCTTTGTTGCCAAACCCTTAGAATCACTTTTCTCCACTTTATAGCGCCCCTGCTCACTACTCACCTGCTCACACATTAACTGCTCTATACTATCCATTGTCTCCCACTCGTTTTAGCCAAACTATATATCACCAAATTTGTTTATTTTTAGCAACAGGCAACAAAGCAATAACAGAAATCCCATTGTGATTGTTGTGATCTCTCCAAAACTGCAGTGTAGTTGATTTATTATTATTATTATTATTATTATTATTATTATTATTATTATTATTATTATTACTATTCATAATGATAATAATTATAATAGTACTCTTCATCTTCATCTTCATCTTCATCATCATCATCATCATTTCAATATTACTTATGGCAGGCGAGCACAAACTGTGACAGCAATGACGCCTTATTGTGAAATCTCACAAACCGGAAATTGAGTTAGCATTCCGTAGCTAAACTATCAAGTGAGTGTGTGTGTGTGTCTCCAGTTGTGAAAATGTTACCATTATCTATTAAAGACGACGAGTATAAGCCGACCAAGTATAACCTGCTGCTGAAACTCTCCGGATGGTTCAGGTAATCTTCGCACTGCTAATAGCGGCTAAAAGGGAGCCATCTAATGATAAGCTGCTAGCCTATTGCTGGCCGGCTAGCCTAAACGAATCTGTGCCACTGTTAGCTTCCTCTGCATTAAATGTTTTTTATAAGATTGTCAGCCTTCAGGGTTTGTGATTGAACGACAGTTATACGTATATATAGTTTCTAGGAGTTGATGACAGGGATTTGTCTGCGGTCTGTGGCTCATGCTATGATCTGTGCTGCTGGTTTTCATACTGTTGTGTGCTTTTTGTAGGTCTATCCTCGCCGATAAAACTTCCAGAAATCTGTTCTTCTTCCTATGTCTCAACCTGTCCTTCGCCTTTGTGGAGTTAACGTATGGTATCTGGAGTAACAGGTAGGCTAACATAGCGTTAGCATCAGCAGTGTACGTGTGTGTGTAATCTGCTGTTTTCAGGATGTGCCACGTATGTGTTCTTGTTAGCATGGAGGAAGCCAGAGTGTGTTAGTGTCGGACGTCTTTAACCTGAAAGCAGAAGTTGCCATTAGCCAGCAGATACACAACCCACACTACACAAACTTTCCAAATCTTCCCAATATTTCTAAAAGTGCATCCTGAAAAATACCCCCAAAATTCATTATTATTATTATAATTATTATTATTATTATTATCATCATCTTTGTTGTTGTTATTACTGTTAACAGAAGAAGACAAGGGGAATAAATATTTGTCTGTCTATACCTAAGAATGATTCGTTTTGACTATTTCAGGATTTACAAAGAGAAAATACTGTGACCTGATGGAAAATGAACAATATTAAGTAGTAATAGAGTGAAAAAGTAAGGGATTAAATCATCAGTCAGCCTTTCCAAACTCAAAATATTCCAGCGCTGAAGCACAGCTGCATGGGAAAGGCTCAGATGGTTTGGACATGTGCAGGGAACAGAGCTCCCCGTTCTTGCAAAGAATATTTCCGCATGTCTTAAATATTTTTTTTAAGTGGAGCTATTCTGCTCATTTCCAGCTCCATTTTATTGATTCTTGAATTTAACAAAAGCCACATTTCAAAATAGTCCTGTTTGACTTACATTGGGACTTCATCCATTGTCTGAAAAAAGCTGCTTCATTCCTCCTGCTGCTCTCCCTTTAAACTTTTGATTGGCAAAAAGAAGTTTTGAGCAGCATGTGGGTGGATCTGTGCTCACAGCCAAACCTGTGTGCCAGAAATGACCATATTAGGGGGTATCCACTAGAGGTGGGAATCACCATACATCCCTCGATACGATATTATCACAATACTTAACGTACGATACGATATTATTGCAATTTTTAAAAAATATTTTGCGATATTCAGATTCTACACATAAAGGTAAACTTTATCAATATTCATTTTATCTAATATCAAAGTCTCACATCAGGGCTTTATGGTCAAATAGCTACTAAGAAACCACTACTAAGGAAACGTAACAAGGAGAAGAGATCTCAGCCTCTCTGTGAACTCCTTCAAGACTGTTGGAAAACCATTTCAGGTGACAACCTCATGAAACTCATCGAGGGAATGCCAAGAGTGTGCAAAGCCGTAATCAAAGAAAACTGTGGCTATTTTGAATCTAAAATGTAAAACATGTTTAGAGTTATTTCACATTTTCTTTGTTTGCTACATAATTCCAAATGTGTTCATTCATAGTTTTGATGTCTTCAGTGAGAATCTACAATTTAAAAGTCATGAAAATAAACAAAAACAATTAAAGGAGAAGGTTTGTCCAAACTTTTGACTGGTAGTGTATCTGTGACAGAAAAAAGAGGAAAAGGGTGATGGGTGTCGTAACCATTTAAAAACGTCGTTTTATCTGCGGCAGCATTAAAATCTTTTCAGATGCTCCTGTTCCTTAATGAATCTCTTTACATGTTTGTCATGTGTTCAGTTTAGGTCTGATCTCAGATTCTTTCCACATGTTTTTTGACTGCACTGCCCTGCTGGCAGGTCTGGCAGCCTCCGTCATCTCCAGGTGGAGATCCAACGATAGCTTCTCCTACGGGTGAGAACATCCACTCTGAGCTCTGTTCTGGTCTCTCACTGACAGTCAGTGTGTTTAATCCGTCTGTGTCCTGTCTGTGTCTCAGCTATGTGAGAGCAGAGGTTCTGGCAGGCTTTGTCAATGGGCTCTTCCTCATCTTCACTGCTTTCTTCATTTTCTCGGAAGGAGTTGAGGTAACACATTTGCCACTTTACCTAAGTTTAACCATCACATCTACAAGGTGTGTCTGCTTATTATGCAGTGCCTGTTATAGCATTACAAGTAGGCCAACATAATGGATTAAAAGAACTGGTTCTTGTGGTTCTTCTTTTGTTTTTCTGTACTCGAGCACTCAAAATGCTTTATACAACATGCCTCATTCACCCATTGACACAAATGCTTTTTTCTACACCTAAGTGCTTTGTATCTAACATTCACACTACATTGAATGCATCAGAGAGCAACTTGGGATCAGTCTACTGATATGAAAATCATAAAGCTTTAACATCAGCATCAATAGTTTCACGCAGATGGAAGCCTATAAGGAGAAAGCCTTCGATTTGATGAGATTGTTTGATTGGTTGCTGTGAGAACCAGTCGAACAATCTTTCTTTGACTCTGAGTCAAATCTTTTCTGGATTAGGTTTATTCACTGTAAACGAGGTTAAATAATGGCTTAAATGACATTGACCAGCTATGGCTGCGACATCTGCACACCCTGATTCATTACTGTCAGAGAGGTACTACTTCAGTCTAGAAATAATTCTTATGTGCAGTTTATTAGCACCCATGTAAGGAAAAAAGAATTTCCTGTCATTGTCCATAAAAACTGATCAAATCAATGAAATAACAAAATTTCACTACACGGTTTTTCATATTACACACATAATGGCAGGAATGATGATGGAGCTTAGTTAACCTGAAGTAAAGTCGCATCCGTCAGTCTTCAGCAGAAGAAATCTTTTTATCAGATGAGCCAAATAATATATTCAGTACCAGTACTCAAGAACAGTTATCCTCTACCCATTTCTACTAAAAGGACCATAGTCCAAAGACATGCAATTAGTTGGGTTAGTTTAATTGGTGATTCTAAATTGCCAGGGTGTACCCTTCGTCTCACTCTGTGGCAGCTGAGATGGGGCTTCATCCCCCTGTGATGCTGAATTGGATAAGTGGAAGAGAATAGATGGATTTATTATAACAACAACAACCAATCGGACAGCACAGTCAGACTTGCCTTTTGTTGAGTATATAACAAGAGTATATACAGTAGATCACCCAGTTGATTAAACAAGGTAAGAACAATGAGTCCCTTGTGTAGGTTTTTGCATCTGATCATGTGTGCTGTATCAGTTCTCCTAATACTGCAAAAGTTGGGGTAGAAACAAATCATTTTTACTCTTGTAGTTACATAACCTTAAGCTTTAACAGGGCATGCTGAAATTGAGTGAAAATACGCCTGCCAGCATGTGACCATCTGTCTCTGTTTGTCAGAGAGCTCTAGAGCCTCCAGATGTTCACCATGAGCGGCTGCTTCCTGTCTCTGTAGCCGGTCTGCTGGTGAACCTGGTCGGGATCTTTGCATTCCAGCATGGAGGACATGGGCACTCACATGGAGAAGGAGGTAATACACCTGAAGGATTGAGCCTAGAGTGTCTCTGCCGCTCTTGAAGTGCTTCGAGTCGATTCCGCAGTTTGGATCCAGTGAAAATGATGTTGTTTTCAGCATTCATAGCTGTGCGGGCTGCACTGATGCCAGTGTGTAGTTACATTTCTAGAGCGCAGATACGACATGGGGTGTTAGAAAGGTTTGCGGTTACGCTGTACCTTCACCAGCCATTTTCCACAGAAAGTTTTAGTCATACCTCAGCCAAATTAGAATATGGCATCTTCAGTGTCAACTACCCAGCATTATATCCTACATTTTTCATGGATTCCTGGGCTTTACACATAAAAGCCTCATTGTAATGGAGTTGGGAATAAATAAATGACATTATTGAAGTGGAACCCTCATAGCTTCTTTTGTTCAATCAAGTAGAGCCTGTACAGATCAGGCATCTGAGTGCAACTATACAACATGTAACCACATGTCTCATTTTTACATTATTGTTGCAACTCTCTAAAATGTGTTCTGCAGACCCAAACACTAAAGCAGGTCTCTAAAACTTTGATATTGTAAACCTGGTAGATGTTCGAAGCTTTTCATAGGGACTCTGCAACTCTGTAGACCCTCTGTAAATCAAGTGAACTAAACTCAGGCTCAGTTAAACGTTGCTGCATGCCACTAGAACATTGATACATCTGTGCAGAACCTCACAGGTCGACTGCAGCCTTGTACAACTTCACTGCAGATCTTTGCTTGTCTGACGTCTCCTTCTCCATCCTCAGACCACGGACACAGTCACTCTCTGTTTAATGGTAGCACAAGTCACGGTCACAGTCATGGAGGACATCACCACCACGACAAACATGCAGATTGCCACAGTCATGGAGGACATCACCACCACGACAAACATGCAGATTGCCACAGTCATGGAGGACATCACCACCACGACAAACACGCAGATTGGCACAGTCATGGAGGACACGAGGAACCACACTATAATGGTGAGAGTCTGACAAAGGAAAATGCTGCATGAGAATGCCACAAACACAATTTAGACACTTCTAGCCCTTTTCCCTTAGTACCTACTTAGATTGGCTTGGCTCAGTTCAACTCAGCTAATTTTCTATTACAATTGAGGACCACCTCGTGAGGGTCATTATAGCAATGTGGCCGCACGTCCCGTGATGTCATTTTTATACAACATGAACATGATTGTTGGTTTGATCTCTGGCTGCCTCGGCCTGCATGCCAAAGGTGCTCCCAGTGTCGTCATCAGTGTGTGAATGTTAGAAAGCTTTCTATCTAGCACAGGCATGGTATGTGAATTTGTGAATACGGTATATTGTAAAAAAATGTTTGAATGCTCATGTAGATTTAATAAACTGCCATCAGAATCTCACGGTTTTTCATTTAGTAGTAAAACAAACCTGCGTGGTACAGACTTCCTCCAACCTCACTTGTTGCGTTTTTTTATTTATTTATTTTTTGCTTTTTAGACGAACTGCAACACCTGCCGGGAAAAGGCTCCAGCAAACAGATCCTGCAGGGTGAGAAATGAACACACACACACACAGTGCTACACTAAACTACTGGGGTGGAGGGGCATTCCCAAAGTGCTCCCAAAGCGCTGTGTCTTCTGAGCATGCAGTACATAGCATCCTCATCATCTTAGCATTTGGTACCCTGTACATTTGTCCTCTGATCCCCGAGAAAATTATGTGGTCACATGTGCTCCAAGACAGTAAGAACACTAATACATATAATAGCAATAGTACCAATATTAAATAATACAATATATTATAGAATATCTCTAATAAATTAAAATGGCTCTAATATATAACTATCACAGTATGTTACACAAAGTTGAAATTATGGTGCCCCCTTTCATACCGACTTTATTTTCTCTGTAGAGGATGTGATAGGAAGTGTGTGCTATTGCAGTGTTTATTTGTACTTTAGATGTAGGAATTGTACAGCAAGAGGATCACAAGCAGGAATGATTTCCTGTGTCGTTTAGTGGTGCATTTTGGGTAATCTCAGTTTCTTACCGAACGTGCTCCTCTGACTGGCCAGCATGTCATAAAGGGGGTGGGAGATATTGTCCAGCATTGTCCTTATCTTGGACAACATCCACCTCGCCGACACCATCTTAAGAGAGCCCACCTCCACCCCACAACACTACTGGTCTTGTGGATCGGTTTGTTGAGTCCGTTGGCATCTGCAAGTGTCAGCCTGCTGCCCCAGCATGCAACAGAATAGAGGATGGCACTGGTCACAGCACAATTCTGGAAACTGCTTAGCATTGTCCGACAGATGTTAAGACCTCAGCCGCCTCAGAAAAGACTGCTCTGGCCCTTCTTGTGGAAATAAATAGTGATCAGGACTTAAACCAGAGTGCTTTCAAACTTTTGCACTGCTCCTTTTATTTAAGTAAAGAGCTAAAGTACCTCCTCCTCCTGAGCAGTCACATTTGTGAAAGTAATTCTGTCAGATTTAACAGTGGTGCACAGTAACTACAGTTATTACTAGCTAGCTCTGAAGGAGTATAATTATAAATTTCCTCCAGTGTAAGTCTTTGAGAACTTAACGCTACATGTTAGATTCCATCACTGTACATGCAGCAGTTTGTTCTATTTTTTATTTAGCTTAATTTCGTAACTATACTTACAGTTGGATTTGTAGTATTTTAGAAGAATTAAATTTATGCCAACCATTTAGAATTATTAGTTTCTGCACTTATTTTTTAACCTATTTTAGTATCTTTTTCATTGTCTTACATAAACTAGTCTGAACATGTTGTATTCTGATGACTATGTATCAAAACTGTATCGATGTGTGTTGTATCTTTGTGTTCCAGGAGTCCTGTTGCATATTATTGCAGACACTTTGGGCAGTGTCGGTGTGATCATCTCCGCTCTGCTGATGCAGAAATATGATCTAATGATTGCCGATCCCATCTGCTCCATGCTGATCGCCATCCTCATTGGAGTCAGGTGATACTTCCTTATCACTTCTTACTGTTTAATGTCTGATTTAGCCTTGGCCAGGGAATTTACGTAGAGCTATGATGTAACCTACAGAAATGGCTGCCGTCGTTGCTGCCATTTCTGCGTGTGCTAGTGCATATGGGTTAAGTATGTGCTGGTGTTTTACACATGCTGCCAGCTGATAGAAACAAATAAAATGCTGGTCTTTTTTCAACTTCTATGTGCATGCCCCTCACGTCATTGTGGTCAGCGATTTGCTGACATATGTGAGTCCTTATATTGATGCTATTATTATTATTTCTTATACTGAAGTGATGATTTTTTTGTGTTACTGAGAATACAAAAACTGTGGCCTAGACTTAACGCTACAGCAGAAATTGCCAGTAATTCCTAAAGTGATTTGATCAGCCAGTATTGGTCTGGACAGTAATACTGTGCCTTTTTTTTTTTACTCTGGTATTTTATATTCAGTTTCATTTACATAGTGTCACAACAGTTGCCTCAAAGTGCTTTATATTGCAAGTTAAAGACCCTACAGTAGTAGAGGGAAAACCAGAACAATCAGATGACAGTGAGAAGGATAAGCTCCCTTTTAACAGGAAAGACCTCTGGCAGAAATGGACTCAGGGAGAGGCAGCGACCTGCTGCGACCACTTGGGGACAGTAACAGGGCAAAATACGCACAGTAGAAGACACCCGAATACATGTGTGTACATGCCCATGATCGGATGATTTAGTGCACAGTGCAGTGAAATAAACATTTTAATTCTAGTTAATTATTTTATCACGGAGTTTTCTCTCAGTGCTGCTGTTGATTTCTAAGATGATGGCTGCACATTTAAGCTGTGAAACTTACTGTCCCAGTATCATCCCAGTAGTATCCCAGCCTGATAAATTAGATGTGAAAATTCCCTCAGTTTGATGCATATCAAAGTGAAATTAATTTTGAACAATTTAATTTGATTAACTTGATGTGTGTCCTGTGTTTCAGCAGATTAGAATCACATATAACAACATTTATACATTTTCAAATTCACCAAATGAATAAACAGACCTTCCTTTAACAGTGCGGCACACAGTTTGAGCTTCACCCAACGGTTTTAGAAAGGAACAGCTTAAGAAGCTGCACATATAAAACATATTCCCCTAGCAGAGAATCTATAATAAGCTTAAAACCTGCCGTAAATAAAAGAAACAGTGAAAATGTGGCACTCCCAGCTGATTTTTAAACTAAAACTCTGAACACAACCTGCTCCTGACAATTTCAGTTTAGATCCTTTGCTGCAGACTCAGAGCTGTTTTGAGATTAAATATCAAACAAATATCAAACAAAAGCTTTATTCTACGTGCAAATTTGATGTGGGGTCAGGAAGCACAGTGTAGGTGTTCCGTTTTAAGATCAGTACATGGACTGTAAAGTTTATTTGTCAAGAAATTCATGAAGTCATTGCTAGTCAACGTTAAGGGACTGGCTGACTCAACAGAGCTCTGACTTTTTGTCAGCCTGACTTCAGTG